ATCGTGTGTGGGAAGTAAATTTCCTTTCACTTTGTAAATTTATTTCTCGTATCTTTAACTTAGTAAATAGTTTGATTCCTTTTAATTCTGGATTGAAAAAAAATCACTTTTCTACTGTCTAGGGATACAGCTGTAAAATCTGATGCATTTTGATTCCTAGTCCTTTGCAGATGGTCTGTGTTTCCCCCTCCACTTCAGAAGCTCTTAAGATCTTTTCTCTTAATCTTTGGTGTTCTGGACTTTTTGCAAGGGTGGGTCTAGACGTATGTGTCTTTTTTTTATTTATTGTGCTGGGCAGCAGCTGCCAGAGTTTCTTCCAAAGGCAGAGGTGGGGGAGAAATACCCTCCTGCTAGTACCTCCCATTGGCCAGCTCCAGCTGAGGGCAGCAACCTGGGTACCTGGGAAACACAACGTGGAGAGGCTGGTTCCCCAGAATACAGAGCAGGGAAGGGGAAGGGCAAGGAATGGATCTGAGAGCAGACAAGCCCAGGACCAGCACAGTTAAGGGATAGGGTCATAGAGAGGATAATCTCTTTTTGCTTTTTATGGTTTTCAAGATTATAAAAGTAAGACATACTAGTCGTAGACACTTTTAACATATGTAGGTCTACACTGAAAAGTGGATGTCCTCGTGCACACCCCACCCATGACTGCTCCTGCCAGAGAATAGCGCTGCTCTGCGCGTCTCGTGCAGAGCCTTAGCTATGTGCCTACGAGCTTCATAAACGCACGTATGTGCAATATCTCTGCGTCATGCAGTTTCATCATTTACATCCCCTTTGCTAAATTCCGTTAGGCTGGTTAAGTTTTCATGTTCTGTTTTCTTTGAATAGATTAGAAATAATACAGCTATTTCTAGTCTTATGGTTTTGACTCAAATATTTCAGTGAAACAGTCCATATGCATATACACACACACACACACATAATATGATGATTATGTCTCTATTACCCAGCCTAAGATATCACAGTATTACTGAAGTATCCAGAATGCTCCCTAAATCATAACCTCTCCCACTGAACTGTAACCACTAATCCAAATGTTGCTTTTCTTAAAACTGTATTTTAAACCATATTTTTAAATACTGTATGGGTAACTAATTGTAGTGGGTTTTTTTTTTTTGCTTTGTATGAAAGGTGACAAGCATTAAGTATTTTTCTGCGACTTGTATTTTTCACTTGATATTATAGGTTTTTGTCAGATTCATACATATCGCTATGAAACTACAACACACTACTGAGAGAAAATTTTTTTATTAATAAATAGGTAATAAGTACCTTCTTCATGAGTCAAAAGATGACATTTCTCCCCAAATTATTCTATAATTCAATGTAATCCCAATCAAATTTCCAACAGGCTTTACTGTAGACACTGACAAGCTGATTCCAAAATTCATATGAAAATGCAAAGAATCTAGAATAGCCAAAACGACTTTTAAAAAGAACAAAGTTAGATGACTTATAGTATTTAATTTCAAGACTTACGAAGCCACAGTAATGAAGAGAGTGTGGCATTAACCTGAAATACACAAATGGATCAACAGGACAGAACAGAGACCAGCAATAGACTTTCAACAAAGGTGCAAAGGTGATTTCAGTAGAGAAAGAATAGTCCTTTTAACAAATGGTACAAGAACAACTGAATAACCATATGCTAAGGCTTGAACTTCAACCCACACCTTGCACCACAGACAAAAATTAACTCAAAGCAGATAAGGGACCTAAATGTAAGGCCTAGAAACTACAAAACTTCTAGAAGAAAACATAGGAGAAATTTTCTGTGACCTTAGTTCAAGCAAAGGTTTCTTACATACAAAGCCATGACTCATAAAGAACACACGGATCAATTGGACTACGTCAAAATGTAACACTGCTCTTCAAAGACACACTGAGAGGATGAAAAGACAAAAACACCAGAGCAGGAGAAAATACGTGGAAAGTATATTCCTGATAAAGGACTCTCTGTATATTCATGCAGAATAGAGAGAACTCTCGCTGCTCCATAATAAGCAAACAACTCCCAAAAATGATCAAAAGATCTCAAAAGACACTTCACCAAGATGAAGCCTATCTTACGTAAGTTTTGACATACATATACACCCATAAACTCAGTTTTTGTCAAAACTGGTGGCAAAACGAAGAAAAAGCACATGAGAGAGGGTGCCAGGGATCCCGGGGAGAGGAGAGGAGTGATTTTAACCTCAAAGAGAAAAAGGCCAAAAACCCAGAGGCCGGGAAGGAGACAAAGGTTAAGAGAGATTCGCGTTCGACTCTCCGCCCCTTCCTGCCGAGAAGGCCGGAGCCCAGGCTTCCCAGCGACTCCCAGGCCCAGCGTCAGGGCGCGGCCACCGAGCGAATCCCAGGGAGCGTGGGCAGTTAACTGGTAAACCATCCCCAAGTGGTGCAGGCGCTTCCAGCTGGATTTAAGTTGATTTTTGGAAAGTGAGAAAATGTCATGTTTTTTGCACATCCCAGTTGGTGCACCGAGATTCATGTGGGGAATTCCTGTGGGGACTAAGAGATGCATAAATGCAGCCAACAGATCATAAATGCTGGAATTTACATTAATTCATCCGGAGCCCATGGTCATGACTGGTGTAAAGAGATGAGTGTAAACTCTGGGAAAGCAAAGCGGATTAGCGAATACCAAGGGCCCGCTGTAAGTTTAGGTGTGAAAGAGTACTTTAGAATGTTCTAGAAGCCCTGGTCAAAAGCACCTCTGTCAAGAGTAACAAGAGACAAATTACTTGCTACTGTGATCTGGACTTTGTGGAAGTGAATTCAAAGCAGGAAGGTATCAACAAACAAAACGTACATAAATAAAAGGATCACTTCCAATACTTTATAATCTATATAAACAATAAACAAACAGATAAACAAATCCTGGGTGGACACAAGGTGGTCAGAGAAGGAAGTGAGGACAACAATAGCCTTGTTAGTTTAAGATTAAAGTTAGTTTAAGATTAGTTTAAGAAAATATCGAGTAAGATTTTAAGGTCTCTAAGTTAATATCTCTTTTAGAAAATCAGAATTTCCCTGGAGAGGGAGAGGCATAGAGCAGCCAACAGACGTGTCATCTGGGGACAGGGCCAGTATGTTGGGACAGCAGCAGGGAAAACTATTCTGCGTGTGATGGACATGACAGATCCCGGAAACTGCGGGCATTTTCCAACAGTTTCCAGTCATGGAATTCCCAGCCCCAGAGGAGAGACTCCTGAATCTTGGTTAGGAAACATCACCAAGAAACTGCTGCCATTGCGGTACTGGGGACGGAGAAACCGGGAGATGCTCAGCCCATGAGCCTCCCTCACAGCCCTCTCTGGCTTCAAGGCTCGCTACCCTCCCTCTTGCTCACTCCGCTCCAGCCACACCAGCTTCCTGGATGTTCCTTCCACCCGCAGCCTTTAATTACATGCCCTCTGCCCGCACTGCCCTTCCCAGACACCCGTGGGGCCCATTCTCGGACCTCCTCCAGGTCTTTACTCAGTGAGGCCTCTCTGTGTGCAGTGCATCCCAGCCCCAGCACCACCTTCCACACGCACCACCATCTGACATAGTACATATTTTATTTAGTGTTTATTGTCTCTCCCCACTAGATCATCTCCACATGAAAGGTCCTGTGTCTTTTATTCAATGCTGTGTCCTCAGCCCCTAAAAGTATCTGGCACACAGTAGGTGTTTAATAAACACTCGTTGAAAGAACAATAAGTATGTGCGAATGCTTATGGACTAAATGTCCAAGTGGCCCAGGCTTCTGCTTTTGCAGCAAACGATGCTGCAGTGGCTGTGGCTGAACATCGAAGTACGCAGCTATGGGGCCCACGTGCACACCTGCTAAAAACAAAACGAAACAAAATAAAAACTCCTAACACCCACCAGAGGACTGAGAACAGGCATCTTCAAGTGCACTGTGCTCAGCCAGCAGCCGCAGGACCAGGCCAGGCCCAGGCAGCTTGGACTTCAGCACAGCTCTGTCCTGCAAGGCCGGGGAGGGCAGATGGAACGCCGCAGGGCGTGCTGTCCTAGCAAGTGGTCTGAACGAGTTCAGTCCACGCCACACTCGTCCCGAGGGAATATGAAAACGGAGGGAGAGGACGGTTGTTGGTTGCCCACCTCCGCAAATAGCATTACTCCTTTGGTGACAGAGAGGGGAAGGGAGGGGAGGGGAGGGGGGAGGGGAGGGGAGGGGAGGAAGGAAGGAAAGAAGGAAGGAAGGAAGTAAAAGGAAAGAAAGAAATTACATGAGAACAGAAGGGCTGGGAAAATTCCCACTTGGGGGTAAGGAAATCATGCCACACTTTTCGACACGTGATCTGATTTAAATCTCAAAGAATGGAATAGTGATCGATCTCTGCTCACATGAAGCTCATCCCCTTGATGTGGACACAAGACCAAGAGGCGAAGAATCAATCCGGCAGCATTTCTCTAACGAAGGGTTCCTGAGAGCAGAGAGGGGCCGTTATGTTATCTTGGAATCCAGGTGGCACTCAAGTTGGAAGACAGAAATTTCTTTGCAGTCGTATGTCTTGTTTCATCTTATTTTTTAAAATGAAATTTTCTACTTACTTATAATCTGAATTATAAAACTTTTAGATATTACTTATCAGTAAACTTACTTAGCTCTTATTTCCCATGACTTCAAGATAAACTGATATTCCATCAAAATGTGGCAAAGAATCCTGCGATTTTGGATTCTCCTTGGCACCATGAATCCCCAGAGGTATAACCCTAAATGTGGGTTATGGATGTCACCAAAATGGGGAATGTGGACATCACGAAAAACATCATCTTATGTCAAAGTGTATAACAGAGACAACAACTTCTGTGGCTCTTCGGGAAAGGCCAAAATATTTGTCAAGACTATATGGAGTCAGATATGAAAAGTATTATTCAAGCCACTGCCAGTGATATACGCTGTGCGCCGCCGCCATTTTTTCCTGCCTTGGTTATTTACACCATTTTCTAAAAATGAGGAAACAAGTCATTCAAAAAAACAAATATACATACATACGTGTGTGTTTTTAATATAAATGGGAAGTAAACATGCAGCAATGCCAGAAATAATCTACCTTCGACTCCAGGCTCTTTTCAAAAAATACAAGATCATTTTTTCAAAAGATACAAGACGTACAGATAAATCACATTCATACCTTACAAATGTTAAATAGCAAACCATTTAAACTCATACTGAACAATGATGATTTTTCAGTAGCTTGAAATTTCAGTTGTTCATTCCATAATTTTTATGAGTTAAAAAAAAGAAACAGCTGGTCATGTACCTTAATATTGTCATTTATGTACTATTCAAAAGTATAAACAACCCTGCAGATAGAATCCCATGCTTACCATGTTTTATAAAAATTCTGAGACATTTATCAGGCAAAAGTAATATAATGGAAAATATATTTTAGGATATATTTCACAAAGACAAGTCCAACATTTCTCTTCTGTTCAGAAAATAAGAGGTAGGTTCAAATAAACTAAATGCCTAGTATGTCACTAGATTTTCCTTAAAATGTTGGCGATTTATAACAGAAATTACTGAAAATCAGGAAAGACAAAAATGGTTTTAGTAAATTGAAAACATGCTATCGATATTATAAATTAAGTTTTCTATATGATAGCATGTTCCTAAAACTCGGGGCAAAAGAGAATATGAATGTATGTGTTTACAAATTGGGCTTTTCATTTAAATATAGGTACCTAATATATAAGGTTAATATATGGTACTAATAAGATGTACTATTCTCTTAGGTTTGCTCTGCCCAAATTGAGAATTGCAAGTTCGAAGAAATTCAATAGTGAGGAGGAAATGAGAATGTCATTCGCCCATGATCAACCCAATCTATATAATTAAGAAATTTCGGATTACCAAGAATGGTCCCCAGATGCCTTCCTGGTTAAAACAAAATCTGATTCAAGTAGGAAACAAAGGACAAAGAAAAGAGAGATGCTCTGTAAAAGCTGATATAAGTAAAAAGGTTTTGTTTCCTGGTGCTTTTCGAAGCAATGACAGAATAAACAGAATCTTTCAGATAAATTGCTTCGTGTTGATAACGCAACAGTAATATACTGACAATCAGTGTGTCCTCTCAGGAACCGAATAACGGTGCAGAGAAAATGTAAAAAGACCCACTGAAATAGATATTTCATCACTCCGCCTTATACAAATAGTGATATGAATGGACTAAGGTGTTCACATGCCTTGAAATTCTGCCACTTATATTCATTCTTATTCAGCTTAAAGAAAGATAAGGATATAAACCCTATACTTATTTGGCTGCTGTAAGGTATGTTTTTATGCAATGATTTTCTATTAATGGCTCCACAAGACAATTTTAAGTCATCTATAAAGACATTAGAAATATATAAAACAATTTAAATTTTAAGGTTTTCTGATCATCTTGTTTTTAAGAAAAAGACTATTAAGTATAAAGAAACCGGCATAAACTTGAACCACCCAAAACAAAGATGACTGATTTATAATTCCATGACACAAAACAAATTTAGTTCAAGCAAGTATATGTTTCAGATTTAGGATTCAAGGCAGAGATTTGTAGAAAGAACTAACAAGAAAAGATCAAATACAGTGGCCTTTTCAAAATTGTATGAGCTTATCAAAACTATGATTTTCAACATTTCTGTATATATAAAATTGAGCCCAAGTGTTTAAAGTGATCATTGATATGCTCTTCCCTTTTGTGGAAAAAAAAAAAAAAGTGACCCCTTTTGCCATAGACTTGCAATTTCAGGAGAAAAAGTCACTCTAGGGATTATCGAAACTTTCAATAATCGCACTAAAGCAAAAAATTCAACATGTCATTTCTGGGTTACTCCTAGAGTTTGTTTCATGTTTTCATAAACCACGTAACTAATGCCTACGGCAGGGAGCACCTTCATGAAGTTTGGGGTGATGCCCCGGTAAAGTCCTGGTACTCCTTCCTTGGAAATTATTCGCCGGAAGAGGCCAACCATATTCAGCTGCGCGTTCCCCTCCACCATGGCTGGGAGACAGACAAACAAAAAAGAAACCAGGTCCATTTAATAGTCAAGCATGTTTTGTTATTATTACTATACACAACTGTTGTTCAGATGATATTCTAGAATACAATGAAGGGAAAAATTTATTCCAAGGGGCCCAAGAAAGTGCCCCTTTATATAATTCTCCTTGTAGAGCACTTCGTAGTGAGTGCCCCGGTCATAATAATGGTGATAAGTTATTTACTGAGTGATTACTATGTGCTAGATATAGAGTTAATTACTTTATATGCCAATCCCTCAACATAAGTATTATTAGACCCATTTATAAGTGAGGAATTGGAGGCTCGGAACGATGGAGGAACCGGTCCTAATACACTTAGCTAGCAAACGGGAGAGTTGAGAGCTAATGCTGCTTCCGACTCCAAAGCTCACGCACTTCCTGCCACCCACCCCTCACCCGTCCTCCTCATTAACCAAGCACCAGTCAGAGAACGGTCCACTCTTGGGAACTAAGGGGAATGTGGGGAACACTTTGGGGAGCTTAGGAAAACATAGGGTCCCTGGGCCTTGAAAATGATCTCAATAGACAAGAAAGGGAGGAAGGGAATGCCATGGGGACGCCAGGGATTGCTGGGTGGGGCTCCTCACGGGTGGCATGTAGCCGCCAGAGGTGGGCGAGGTGGCGGTGGGGAAATGGAGATGAGGAGAAAAATTAAGTGGTGCCAGATTATTATGGGCTTTGGAATTCCCGCTAAGGACTTTGGAATTTATTCTGAAGAGACCGAAGAGTCAGTCACAAAGATTTCTGAGCAGGACTCGAATGATCAGATCTTGCCTTTAGAAACAAACCTGCCAGCCATGCAAGGGACCGAACTGGAGTTGGCAGATCGGAGGGGGAGACTTGGTAAGTGATGCTGTGAATCGGGGGCAGCCTGGTCTGAAGTCTCCCTCTACTATTTACTAAAGGTATAAATTTGTGGAAGTTTCTTAATCTCTTCTGGCCCTAGTTACTCGTCTGCAAAATGGAGATAATATTAGTATCCTCCCTCCAAAGATGGTCATGATGGTCAAATGAGAGAATACACAGGAAACGTTTCATTTACTACTTGGCATTTTTCTCTCCAGCCACACGGTCTTCTTTCAGCTCCTCAAAGGTGCCTGTTTCCTCAGTGCCTTCACGTGCACTTGCCCTCAGGCCGGATGCTCCTTTCCGCCCCAACCACCTTCGCCCAGTTGTCTCACTTGTCCTTCCAGGCCCAGCTTGAACGACAACACTCTGGCTCCCAAGTTAGGTTAGAGACCCTTACTCTGTGGCCCCCTCACAAAGGAGAGGTGGGTTAATGAGGTTATTTGCTGAATGTGTGTCCTCTGCGCTTCACTTGGCAGGGACCACATCTAACCTGGGGACTGCTCGAACCCTAGAATCTGGCAGGGCATCCAGCACCCAACAGTGGCTCAGGAAGTATTTGTTAACGATTGACTGTTTGGCTGAAGGAGGGGTGATTGGTACTTGGAAGAGAGGATGTGGATGGAGCTGTAGAGATGCAGAGTGTACTATTCAAAAAAATGAGAGAGGGAAGATTGGCCAGG